ATAGCTGTGCTGGAGGTCACAGCAATACTCGGTTGATGCTTTCTGACCTTGTGGTTTACTCATTGGTTGACACAGTTCAGCTTTCCCTTGTAGAATAGCTTTATTCTAACTTGAGTCAGTCAGCTGTCCTGTGATAGGCCCTGGTCAGTCAAAGGGGGTTGAGGAGAGAGGGATGGAGTTACTGACTAATTGGTATTGACTAAATTAAGGTATTGACTAAAGTATTGACTAAATTAAATACTGGAATGTTTTAACAGAGGACAGTGATCAAATGTTTGTACTAAGTGTTGAGTGTATCAGTAGACCCTACCCATTATGAACCCCTATCCTATGTGTGTGCACATTGCTTATTGATGAGGAATTATCTTTTTTTACCTTACCTGTGTGGTCTGAAGTTTTAAATTTTTGTGTGTGCATGAGTACGTGTACCACAGAAAGGTACACAACACATTTGTAAGAAATAGCCTTCTAAGAAAAAACAAAACACTTACCTTGTAGCAAATAGGTACACTTTATATGAGATGTAACTGGAGCAAAGGCTAAGGGTTGTTTGTATGTGGGGAGCAGGGAGGAAAGCACAGATGAATGGAGGCCGTGATTTTAGTTCAGTTCAGACTAGTCAGTTATTTGGTAGCTTTGGCTCTAATCTGCCTTCCTTGTAAAATGAAGATGATTGTCATCACATAAGATGGGCCAGTCTCTTAGATTGCTGACAGGGATTCACCGTTTAGTGGTTTTGCTGTACCTGTGGCGAGGGCAGGCAGGTTGATTGTCCTATATGAGGAGAGCATAGAGTCATAAAATATGTGACCTCAGGCTCTTCAAAGTAGGTTACGCAATGTACAAGACAAATAACTTAGATTTAAGAATGCCAATCCATAAATCCAGAGGACCCATGAGGAAACATCTATCTATACAGGTGGAGGCACATGTTTTTAGACAAAGGTAATATGGGAATTTGTTTTGCTTGACAATACATATTTGTTACAGGGAAGGGGGAGAGGAATTAGTTGAAAAAATTAATTAAATTAAAAAATGGGTTGTTTTGTTTCATGAATATTTTATATGCAAACATTGATTAAGTGCATACTGGGAGCACAGTACTGTTAGTTGGTGGGAAAAGTGCATATTTGGCTACAGAGTCTTGGTGGGATGTACAATTTCACTTGCCCACCTGGAGCTTACAGTCAAGAAGAGATACAAATACAAGATACAGAATAAAGAGTCATGTTAAGTTTGAAAGGGGAAAGAGATCTTTACTGAACTAGCTCCTACAATGAAGCCCCCATTCTCTCCTCCCCCAATTGCTTTGTATTTAATTTGTATATATTTTCCATTTACCTCTCTGTGTTTATATTGTTCCTTCCTGAGGGCAGGGATTATTTTGTCTTTGTCTGGATCATCTTTGTGTCCCTAGTTCTTGATACTTAGGAAATGCTTGACGGATGGATGACATTGGGTAGAAACCTGGGAAACCTTATGTGTACTTGAGTTGGGCTTTAAAGAAAGGTAGAAATTCAGCAGGCAAGAAGGGATAGGCTGTTCTCTGATTTTCCCTTGTCAGAAGCCTCTCTCCCTGTCTGCAAGTCCAAATGGCCAGGAATGAGGAGGACAATTTTGATTGGGATCCTTGCTTCTTAGTCAATGGTCACAACAATAAATTCACTTCAGCAGGCTATGGCAACTTAATATAGTCTCATCTGCACTGTGTGTGAAGCAGTCAAAGGCAGGGAAAATTGAGGCTACTTGGACATTGGCTTTTGTTCAGTGATTTTTTTTTTATTAGGTAAAAAGGCCTGTCTGAAGTAGAGAAAAGCCTCAGATTAAAAAAGAGTGTTATACTTAAATTAGGCTAACAAAGAGTTGCTTTGTAGAGGTCTTTTGATGGCCTGCTTTAATAAAAAGTTTGGGGGGGGTTGTGATTAACATATCATTTGTATGTAAATCTCTCCCCATGTATAATTAATTTACTTTCAATTATTTCACATTCCAAAATGGTAGGAGGGTGGATGAATGAGGTTTAACTTGTTCTTGTTAGTTGCCTTGGGTGAAGGTTTGGTGAAAGAAGAGGCTGAAACTAGAGGCTTTGACTTGATCAAGATATTTCAGAAATCTTTCTTTCATTAGAATCATAGTCATTGGAGCTAGAAAGAATCTTGGGGATTCAACCCCTTCATTGGACAGATAACAGAAAACAAGGTGAGACAATGTGACTTGATAGTGGCACACAAATGATTATTATTGTCATTGTCATCAAGTTAGTATTAATAATAGGAATGCACATTTATAGTGTGCTTTAGGACTTAGGGAGTGCTTACCTCACAACAACCCCAGGGTTATTGCAGGTACTAATATACTTGTTTTAGAGGTGAATAGGCTCAGCCCCAGAGAGAATGCTGAAGTCTACCGATCCCTTCTCAGAATAATTTTTAAATGCATACAACAAAATACATTGGGTTACAAACAAAACAAAATTGTGTTGAAATAAGGTGTGACTTTTTTCTGTCCAAATTTTAGACCCTTGGCTAAGAAACTCTACTCTAGACCAACTTGGTTGGCCAAATGAGAGTAAGTTGCTAGGCACCCAGGCGTTGCAGTGACTGCCCTTTATGGACAGGCCTGGGGCAGCTGTGGGGTAGAGTGGTTGCCAGGACTTGGAGCTGGCCTGTGGTGTCTTTTCACAAAACCTTTGCAGCTAGGTTGGAACAGATATTCTGGAGGCATCTCTGACACCTGTACTTTGAGGGCAGGGGAAGGGGAGAAGGGAAGGAGTGGTGGTGATTGTTGAGAGATGGCACCAGGAGGATTCAGGCTTTAATTACATGACCTTTTCCTGGTCCCAGAAACTGGGGAGAAGGTCTTACTGTCCTTGCCTATAGGAAAAGCCCAGGAGACCCAGAGGAGCCAAAGGGTATGTGGTGCCAATGTGTTGAGATGGGCTTTTTTTTCTTCTTTCTCTCCTCCAGGGTAGAGTATCATGCACTTGGCAAAACCATACCTACAGAGTGTGTACAATTATTTGTCCCAGAGCAGCTCCAGGCCCCTGCAGCAAGCAGGGGAGGTGCTGATAAGCTAAGGAGACACTGTTCTCTGTGAGCTGATTGATTGTACTAGGCCTCCCACTTTCAAATCAGCCTCCCTAGCGTAATTTCCTGAACCCAAACCCCATCAGGGAGCGGAGGAGAACGCAAGGAACCCTGGTCTGTTTTCTAACCTATAAGAATGGTTCCCTCTGTAAAGTTAGGGTGCTCCTTACTGCTAAATCTTTTGGTCAGTATTCCTCCTCCTTGGCCTCTGGGGCTTTTGGCACTGTTCACCTTCCCCTTTATTAGACAGTCTCCTCCCTGGGTTTCCATGTAACTGCCCTCTTTGGGTTCTCCTCTTTACTGTTTGGCCATTCCCCCTTGGTCTTCTTTGCTGGATAATTATCTGTGGCTTTAAAAAATGCTCGTTGCCTGACTCTTCTCTAGCCAGGCTGGGTTTTTTTTTTTCCCCTGCTGTCCCCAGAACACTTCTCTGCTTCCTGTCTCCATGCCCTGTCTGCTTTTCTAGATCGTCTCTGTCCTTCAAGGCTCAGCTGACCTACTGTTCTCTGTGACCAGCCTCTTCCTCCTCTTCATTCTTAACAGCCCTTGTCCTGTAATATTTTATGAAAGGCTTTGTTGTATAGTAGAAAGAGCACGGGCAGGGCACTTAAACCTCTGTGAGCTTCCAGTTTTCTTATCTATAAACAAAGAATCATGATACTTGAACTTCACAGCTTTGTCGGTAGGGAGAGCACTTTGTGAATTGTAAAGCTGTTGTTTCAGTTGTCTACCAGCCCGATGGCTAACTTATGTGCTGCTTTGTTATTGTTTTCATGTGGCCACAGCCTAGCTCTTGGACTAGAGTGTAAGCTCCTTGAGGACAGGCCTCCCTCTCCATCCTCTGTCTTACTGTACTTGGTATTCTTTGTGGAATTTAGTTTTCCACAGCAACTCTTTCCTCACTGATTGTCTCCTTATGCCTCCTTCCATCCCTCAAGTGTTTCATTCCCTCACTCTTGCTTAGATGAAGATGGGCCTGGAACAATTTTATGAGCATGTATATGGCCTTCCAGCAATTGCTTGGCTGTGGTCCAAGGGACCTTTCAGCCCAGACCCTGCCTCTGGTGTAGGCATGTACTGTTGTCTGTTAGTATGACATGGTGGGGAAGGGATGTGTGAGGGGAGAGAGGAGTGTAGCAGTCCATAGAGGAGAGGTAGATAACATGGGAAAGAGACGTTGAATATCTCAAAATTAGTCATCAGGTTGGTTTTTGTTTTCTAAATTGTCTTTGGGAGAGGATTAGTTCAGTTAATGGGTTGATGTGAAGAGTTCACAGACAGTGTTGGGCTGCCCAGGCAGCTGGGTGGCGCTGAGCCTGCAGTCAGTCAGGAAGACCTGAGTTGAAATAATAGACACCTACTAGTTGTGTGACCTTGGGCAAGTCACTTAAATGCTTTCTGTGACAGTTTCTTCATCTGTAAAATGGGGGTAATAATATCACCTACCTGCCAGGGTTGTGAGGATCAAATGAAATGATCTTTGTAAAGAGTGTTGCATGGTGCCTGACACACAGTAGGTACTTAGTAAATACTTGTTCCCTTGATCTGGGTGCTTCTGACGTGTATTGATGCTACATCCAGACACTTCAGGGATTTCTGTGCTTGATGACCTTTGCCCTAAAAATGGTCTTCTTTGCCCTTACAGCTGCTAGGGCTATTGGATATTCATTCCAGAGGCAGCCCAAGGCTCTGCCTACATTTTTATCATGTCTTCTCCCAGCCGATCTGGACCAAAGGGAGAGAAGTCTTAACTAATTTCAGGGGACATCTGAAATGTTAGTCACCTTCTGCTTAGAGATGGTCAGGTTGTCTGAATGGCATGTTAGTAATCTGAGTTGCCCAGCTTTGGACCTGATAGATGGTCTTTCTGTGGTTTAGAAGCTTCTTCTCTGATTTGTTCTTCCTCTGTTCCAGCCTTAACAGACATCCACCATGTTGGGGGACGCCATCATGGTGATCAAAGGCTTAGCCAAGCTTACGCAAGCTGTTTTGGAGACCCAGCTCCAGTATCTGGGCTTTGGTGGGGAGATTATCACAGCAGCCAGGGCCCTGCAGACCACAGCCGAGGAGCAGTTTAGCTTGGTTATGGCAAGAATGCAGGTAAGTTGACTCATCTTCCTCCATGTCCTTTCTGGTGGCTGGGTGAAAAAGTGGCTTAAGTGGATGGTGACCACCAATCTAGGGCCCAAGACCCTTGGTGGGATCAGGGATTCCAAAACTATGTCCTGGTTTTCATTCTTTCAGATAGGATGGACCTAGAAGCGGCCTTCCCTCATTGAAGCAAGGGCTGTGCCGTCTTTAGTTTAGCTTCATCTCTCTTACAAAGGGTGGCAGGACCTCACTTAATGCATTGATTGCATTCTGGAAAAGTTTTAGAACCATAGGCTATCAAAGCTAGAAGGACCCTGAGAACCCATCTAGTGCCAGTCTCTGGTTTTACAGATAAGGAAACTGAGGCCCAGAGAGGTTAAGAACCTTGCCCAAGGTTAAGCAGGTCTCACAAAGTGGTAGAGCCAGAATTTGAACCCAGGTCCTCTGACTCTTTCTACTGTACTACACTGCCTCCTTTCCTAAATGTATTAGAGGAGCTGAATCCTGAAGCTTTCTGTGGAGTGGTGACTCCCCTTTGTGGTCATAACATTAGCTCACAGTTCCATAGCACCTCAGATCTACAGAGCACAGCCATCCTGTGAGATGGGCGGCAGCACAAGCAAGATCTCAGTTGAACATATTGAGGCTCAGAGAGTCTGAGTCCCAGGCTCCCCAGGTAACATGGCAGCCAGAGAGAGGGAGGACTTCCCAGTCAAAGGGAATAATTATTCCATCCCTACGGCTGGTTGTTAGTGTTTGTAAAGTGGGGAGGGGCATCTCCCATTTGTTTGTAGGGCCTGCCAAGCATATGGTCTGACTTTCGGCCCCTTGAAATTGGGCTGGACTCATTGTATTACATTTTACACTTTATTTTTTTGGTTAGGCAGTGGGGTTAAGTGACTTACCCAGGGTCACACAGCTAGTAAGTGTTATGTGTCTGAGGTGGGATTTGAACTCAGGTCATCCTGAATCAAGAGCTGGTGCTCTATCCACTGCCTCACCTAGCTGCCCCCTATTTTACACTTTTTATACATTTTACATTTAGTTTTCAGGACTGCTTCCAGAGAAACAGTCTAGTCTCGAGTGGGAGCCTGAGTCCCAGTTTTGTAATATTCAGAGGCAGCCCTCTTCTGAGCATTCTCTGTGACACAGCCCAGGGAGCGCTTTTCTCCTCTTCCCAGTGTTCTCTGGCTTTTCTCCTCCTAGCTGCTGGGCTGTGAGCCGGGCAGGTTTTCAGAAACCTTTCCCCCACTTTTCCCTCTCCCTCCTTCTGAAGGGGGAGGCAGGGTACAGGCTGGGGATGTAGATGGAGGAACGTTATTGGTATTATTATTTTTGCCATTTGTGCCAAGGCCCAGAACTCCTCCAGCTTTTTGGCCTTTTTTAAGCTGAAAGTTGCAAGTGAAAAATGGATGTTGCAGAGAGCAAGTGGGGTTTGCTGCCCAGAGCTTGTCACAGGTTTGAGAATGCCTGGGTCATGATTTCAGCTTCAGTGTGTTTGTCATTTGTATAGTGAAATTCCCTTATTTCTCCCTGACTTTCCCCAGTACCAGCTCCTTCCAGTTCTGCTTGTGAATTATGGCACCCTACCCTGTCAGGAACAGTCCTTTAGTCACAGACTTTATGGGTCACTTGTCCAGCCCCCTCATTTTCCACAGGAGGAAACGGAGACCTAAAGAGAGGAAGGGGCTTGGCCAGAGTGTCACAGAGTCAGTGGCAGGTCCAAGATGAGAAGCAAGGAGTCTTGACTCCCTAACTGAGCCCTCTCTCTCCACTTCCTTTCTTCATGCCCATCACGTCCCACAGAAACGTGGTTTGTGTGCACGATGGCCATCTTTCTCCCCAGCCTCTCCACAGTGAATCAGTCAGACTTTGGGAGAATTCAGGGACAGAAGGGAATTCCCTGGAGAAAGCATTTCAGTTTTCCCCCCTTCCCTTGGAAAGAGGAGGGGCAGGGGGGCCAGGATGGAGTGGGGCGAGCTCTCAGCAGATTCTCCCATAAAAGGAAACCATCTCCCACTGCCTGTACAAAGAAAGGAGAACTGGGTGGTTTGTGTTCCTCCTCCTGTCCTGGCCCCCGCCCCCCCCTCTTCTCTAGGGTACCCTGGACAGGCCTTGAAAGGCAGTGTTAACCAGTGTGCTCCTTGATGCTGCCCCCTAGAGGAGGGAGCGCCTCTCTCCTGAAGATACTGATAAGCTTGTGTTCAGACTCCAAACAGAGAGAGCCTTCATCGGCAGAGGGTGTTTGCTCATTGAGTATTCCTGTACCAATGGAATCATAGGTCTCTGTCAGAGAAAAGCAGAAACACCCCCCACCCCCAACAACAAGTAAAAGAAACAACTCTAGTAAGCTTCTGAGTGCTTTCACAAGTGCCAAGCCTGGAGTCAGATGACCTGGGTTTAAATCTCACCTCTCTGTGCCTTCAGTAGGAGAGGCCTTTGTTTTGTCATCTATAAAGTGAGAGGCCTTCTAGAGGGTCACACTGGCCTGAGACACAGGGTCCATGGCCAGGACACTCTTTCCTCTCTCAGTCCTTGTCCTTCTCTGGATGAAGCATTCTTAATGGAAATAGGAAGACCAGTGCGTAGGTTCAAAAGTGCCACCAGGGAAGGGTCATTGGCATGTCCTGGAGGGTGTGTCTGTCTCTTCACTTTTGTGGAGGAGTGAGACAGAAGGCCACCAGGAGTTGAAGAAAGCCCGGCGCTTTGCCCTGAAGGAGTGTATACTGGACTTTATTAACATGGTAGCCTCTGATTGGCTTTTGACTTCCTAGTCATAGAAATTGAACTCTTAGATAAGTCCTTTTCTCTCTACTGGGACCTTAGTTTTTCATCAGGTATGACATTGTTCTTACTCTTCTCTCTCATGTGGAAGCTGGAAAGGTTAGTAACTGTGGTCCAGTCTGTTACCCATTTGTAAATTACCTATTTAGTAGTTTAGTAGTAAAAGCAGCTGGTGGCACAGTGGATAGAGCATTGGGCCTGGGGGTCAACCGGAAGACCTCAGTTCAAATCCAGCCTAGCTGTGTGACCTTAACCTCTGTCTGCCTCAGTAAAATGGGGATAATGATAGCATCACCTACTTTCCAGGGGTGTTGTGAGGATCAAATGAGATAACTATTGGTAAAAAACCCTTAGTGTTGTGGCTGACACGTAATAGTGCTATATAGATACTTACTTCCTTTTATTCTTAGAAAATTTAATCATGGTCTGACTTGCTCAGGAATGCAAGCTAAGAGAAACATATTAGAAAGATAAATAAAACATAGAATGAATCATGTTATTCTCTTCCTCAGTAAACTGTAGTAGCTCCCTGTTACCTTTAAGTTCAAATACAAACACTTCACAACTTGACTCGTCTATTTTTCCAGCCTTACTCTATATTATTCTCCTTAATATATTTTGTTGTTCACTTTATAGTTCTGAACAGCTGTAGAGTATATTAAGGAAGTAATATACAGTATTCCATATGTTATTATTATTATATATTATATGTTATTCCACTGTACGGTATTCCCTCACTTATCTGCCTGCCTGTGAACAGGTTGTCTCCCCATGACTGGAATGCATCCCAGTTCAATGCTACCTCTTTTTTTTTTCTTCTTTTTGGTGAGGCAGTAGGAGTAAAGTGACTTGCCCATGGTCACATAGCTAGTAAGTATCAAGTGTCTGAGGGTGGATTTGAACTCAGATCCTCCTGACTCCAATGCTGGAACTCTATCTACTGCACTATCTAGCTGCCCCTCGATGTTACTTCTTAAAACCCCTCATTTCCTTTGGAGTTTAGCCTAAGCACCATCTTTTTAAAAAATTTTTTTTTATTCTGAACTTAAGAAATAAAACAAGCATTTTCATAACATAGTAGAATAAAAAAAGATGATTGTACATGAAATGGCAAATCTATTTTGTACAACTTGCTATTCCTTTTAAATACATAATAAAGCTGTCATATAAGTTTTTTCCCTTTTTTCTTCCCTCTCCCCACCCTGCTCCCACCTTAGCGATGGCTTCAAAATATGATCATTCTATCCAGACTTCTATTTATCAGTTCTTTCTCTGGAAGTAGTTAATTTGGGTATTTATAATAGGCAAATTGACTTAGTTACTCAAAATTGTTCTTAAAACAATATTGTTGCCCATCAGTTGGGGAATGACTGAACAAATTGTGGTATATGAGTATAATGGAATACTATAATTCTATAAGAAATGATGAGCAGGTGGACTTCAGAAAAACCTGGAAAGACTTGTATGGACTGATGCTGAGTGAAGTGAGCAGAACCAGGAGAATGTTGTACACAGTAACAGCCATGCTGTTCCGATGACTAACTTTGATAGATTTAGCCCTTCTCAACAATGCAAGGATCTAAGACATCTCCAAAGTCTCGTGATGGAAAATGCCATCCACATCCAGAGAAAGAACTATGGAGTCTGAATGCAGATTGAAGCACACTGTTTGCTTTTTTTTTTCTTCTGTTTTGTTTTCTTTCCTCTTTCTTGTGGTTCCTCCTATTGATTCTAATTCTTCTTTACATGACTAATATGAAAATATGTTTAATAGGAATGTATATGTATAGCCTGTATCAGATTACAAGGCATCTTGAGGAGGGAGGGGAAGAGGGAGAGGAAAAATTTAAAACTCACAAGCTTGTGGAAGTGATTGTTGATAAATCAATATAAATTAATAAAAAAATTGTTACTGTATACAGTGTCCTCTTGGTTCTGCTCATTTCACTCTTTATTATTTCATGTAAGTCTGTCCATATTTTTCTGAGATCCTTGAGCTCGTTTCTCATAGTACAGTACTATTCCATCACAATCATATACCACAACTCATTTGGATATTCCTCAGTTGACAGGCATCCCATCTTCTGCCTGAGCCCCTTCTGCCCCCAGCTACTAGTGTCCTCCCTCAAAATAATTATGTTTTTTATTTTATCTCTATTTTCATATGCATATGTGAATGTCGTCTTCTTGGATAAAATGAGGTGGAAGCTTCCTTTTTTTTCCCTCCCTTTACATGTTCAGTGCCCCTCTGTGCCAGGAACTTAATGAATAGTTGATGGATCAATAAATCTGCCCTTTCCCAAATCATGTAATGCATGCCAAAATCAAGTTTCTTTTTGTCCTCTGATGCTCCTCTTCCCTGGCTAGCTGAGAGTTCTGTTTTGGTCATCCCCAGTGTTGCTCTTCCCCTAGGATTTGCTAGTCTGGAAGGACCATATGTGACTATGATTAACCTGATTATGCAGATGGGGGATTGGCACAGTATGATGAGAAAGCAGAGCCCAAGGTCACCAAGGGTCAATTAATGTGAATAACATGAGCCTGAAAGTCAAGAGATCTGGAACCCTCTCTTGGCTCGGTCAGTGGCTACATGACCTTGAGAGAGTCATGTGTGACCTCTTGTTATATTTAAGGTCCTCCAGAATCTGACTCTGACTTAGAGATCCACCCTTACTTCACATTACTCCCGATCATTCATATCCTGACAAACTGCACTATTGGGGGTCTCCCATCTGTAGTCTTCTTGGGTTCACACAGGCCTAGAATTTGCTCCTTCCTTATCTTCACCTCTGTCTAATCAAATATATCCATGCTAGATAGCCCAAGTCTGATGCTGCTTCTCCTGTGCTCCCTCCCACTGACATCATTCTCTTCCTCCTCAGATTTTCCTTGAGCACTTGCTTGGGGGTGGGGGCGAGTTGGAGTTGCTCCAATCACACTGTACCTTGTACTTCCTTGTATATATATCATATCCCACTTGGGAGGTGGTAGCTCGTTGTCCAGAGGTTCCTAACCTAGGGTCTGTGAACTCATTTTTATAAAAATATTTTTACAATTTTATTATAATTGGTTTGCTTTGTAATCCTTTGTCTTTTTATCATATGCATTAAAAAATATTCTTCTCAGAAGAGGTCCCTAGACTGTCGGAGGGGTGCATGACCCCCTTTAAAAGAAGTTAAGAACCGCTGTCCTAGAGGGTAAAGACTATTAGTTTTCATCTTTTTATATCCCTATCACCTTTCATAGTGCTTTGCTTGTAGCAGGCACGTAATACATGACTGTTAGATTGATTTGAATTGCTAAACCTAGTGGGAGTGTTCTGAGAGTGTTCCACAAAGAAGGTGCCCTGCTGCTTCACACAACAACCCTATGAGGTCTGGGGGGTGACTGGTGGTATTAAAGATGAAGACTCCAAAGTTTGACTGAGGCCACCTGGCAGATTTGCGATGGAGCCAGAACCAGAATTCAGTTTCCCTGGCTCATATGTAATGGGTGGGGAATTGAGAGAGCCTCTGAAAGAAATGCCAGGATAGTCATGGGAAGTCCTGTCCATAGGTAGGGCGCTGCATGAGGTGGCTTCTTGGGCCGTGGTCAGTCCAATACTCATGAGACTTGTTATTCTGCTGGGTCTTCCTCTTTGTCTGCTCTGAAACCTTGGTTTGCTTTTTTGGCAGGGTATCGATCAGGCTGAAGAGCGCTACCCAGATACCGGTGATGATCCAGGTTCTGAATTCCACTTCTCAGGCCCAGAGGCAGAAGGGGCTTCGGACTTTTCTGCCTCCACTCCTCCTCCGTTTCCTGGCCAGTTCCACAGAGAGGGCCCTGCTCCTGCCTATGCTTCAGGTGGACCTTTTGGGGAAGCAGGGGCTTCAGGCCAGTCCTTTGGTCCTGCCTCAGCGAAAATCCATGGGAAATTTTTTGGAGACTCTAGAGACCCGTTTGCAACCTCGGTCATGCAAAGAAGGTTTTTCCACCAGGACCAGTCTTCTGTGGGGGGCCTCACTGCCGAGGATATTGAGAAAGCCCGGCAGAGCAAGGCTCAGGCTGGAAACAAGCCTCACAAACAGATGGTATGTGAAGGGGCCTATCACAGGGGTTAGGAGGAGGGGGGAGTGAAGAATTGGAGGAGCCACTGACAGTGGAAGGTCTGGTATCTCTTCCATTTCCAGATGAGGGTGCTTCTCTCTCAGGCATCTCTAGGGGGTATGAGACCTGTGCTGTCTGGAACGTGTGAATCATCAAGGGGTCTAGTGGATGGCAGCTCCTCAGTGGTGAAAGGGCAGGGGGGAGATAAGGGAGGATGCTGGGGCCTTGGCTGCCAGCCTGCTTCGATTTTAGTCCCACTGTATAGGAGGAAAGGAGAGTTTTTATCTCTTCTTCTCTGGAGACCCATCCCCTCTCTGCCTTGTATTTCGCTTCATGGGCTGCAGTAACCTTAGTTACCCTAGGGTACAGCAGGTGACAAAGCCTGGGTACTATGTTTCTGTGGCAATTTCTGAGGTGTATACAGTATGGGACAGAAAGGGAGGGGTGGCCCGTGTGTTTTCATGGTGGCTTTACAGTCTTCCACACCTTTCTTTCATAGCTGTTTCTGTGTCTCTGGCTTATGAGGGAAGGTGACTTTTAGCTTATCAGCTTAGTAGTCATGGAGCTTAGCCTGGAACTGAAAGGGACCTTTAAAATCTTCTAGTCTGTTCAGTTTACAGAGCAAGAACTGACCCACTGAGAGGAGGTGAGTTGCCCAAGGTCACCTAGGGAGGTGGCAGCTGAGCCAGGATTTGAACCCTAGTTCTCTGGCTCAAAATGAGCATAAATGTGACATGAGGCAGTTCAACCTCTTCTTGGAGAAAGGTGGTGCTGTTACTATTATTATTATTTTGTCATCATTATCAATAGAGAGATACCTCTTATGAATCTGATCTTAACTCCTAAAAGTACAGACCATATTGGTGGAATGTGTTACAGCAATCTGTGGGCTGTGTAGGTATTAGTGTGTAGGGTGGGGATCCAGGATCAGCTCTTTTAAAAAAAAGTCTCAAGTTTGAGATCTCATTCTCTTCCCTATCCTCTCTCTCTTCAGACCCAGGTGGGTAAGTTTCTCTCATGCTGTGTTGATGTAGACTTTCCAGGTATTCTCTTTCCTTTCCTAACCATAGAGAGTGGGCATAGAGAAGCACCCCCCTGGGGGCACCTAGGTGGCACAGCTGATAGAGCACTGGCCCTAGAGTCAGAAGGACCTCAGTTCAAATGTGACCTCAGACATTTGACACTAGTTGTGTGACCTTAGGCAAGTCACTTAACCCTAATTGCCTCACCAAAAAAAAAAAAAAGGACAGAAGCACTCCCCTGTCCCTCCCTCCCTTCCCCCAAACACTCTGATAAGTTGATCTTTTTAGGCCAAATGTGGCAGGGTAGGCCTGTGATCCCTAGTGTTGAGAGGCTGTGGCTGGTAAGTCTCTTGAACTCAGGGATTCTGAGCTGCAGTGAGCTAAGCCCAACTGACTGTTCCTTCTAAGTCTGGCATCAGTAGAGCGTTCTCTGTTGGGGTGGGGGCCAGGAGGAGGGCCTGCTAGGCTGCCTAATGAGGAGCGAACCAGCCCAGATCAAAAACAGAGCAGGCCAAAGCTCCTGTGCTGACCTGTAGTGGGATTGGCTTGGCAGTAGCTGCTGCGCCTCTAGCCAAAGTGACTTAGGTCAAATGGGGCGAGATCTATAAAGCACTTCGTATGGTTGCCTGGTACATAGTAGACACTATGTAAATCATATTTGAAAGAGATGGCTAGGTGGCCAAATGGATAGAGCGCTGGGCAGCTTCAGTAACGTTGTAGCTCATGGGTATTGGCTGGCTTCATAGGGTTGGGGGCGGGGGTGATGGTATTGCTGCCTGAGAATCATAAGACCATATCGTGGAGGCAGTCAAGGAAGCCATTTTACAGATGAGGAAACTGAGGCCTGGAGAGGCTAAATGACCTACCCAGGGTCACATTGGTAGTAAGACTCCAGATCCAATATTTTTTCTACTGTATTATCTCAAATGCCAGACTACCAGGAGAACCTTGGCTTTTGGACTCATGGTAAATGACAGTTGACTGGACTGTGTTAATTTTGGACCTTCTCGGTCTTGTGGTATGCTCAGAGAGAGGAGTTGTAGTTAGCTTTAGGGCTGCCCCTGCCCACAGGAGTCATTTGGTTACTGGTTGGTGGTGCTCCTTCTCCGTGACAGGCCTATGCTTGGGCATGCCTAGGCCATTCCTGTGGAGGAGGACTGTATTTCTGAGGCCCCTGGAATTTGACTGCCTTGCCCCTCCTCGTCCCAAGTCCTTACACTCCATATTCATGGGATTTAGCCCCAATACCCTCTGCTGAGGATATGCCATTTTTAGTTGAAGGAGAAATTCTTCTTACTGAGTTTTCTCAGCCCTGTCCCCAGGGGTTGGTTCCTCTCCCTCCCTTACAGCCAGTGGTGGTTACCACACTCACCCACCTTCCTTTTGGCCCACACTCAGCAATTCCATGAGTTTCTTTTTCCTCCTTCCAGTTAAGTGAGCGGGCACGGGAACGGAAGGTGCCGGTCACGAGGATCGGGAGGCTGGCTAACTTTGGAGGTAAGATGGCCCTGTGGGTCCTCCTGCCTCCTTGACTTCCACTCTCTTTTCCCTTCTCCTCTTCTCTCCCTATACCCTGCTCTGCCCTCTTGCACCCCCTGCCCCCACACACAAGGCATGTGTACTTGCCTATCTAGTTGGAATATGGCCAAGTTTGCTGGACATTGTTAACATTTATTCAGCGCTTACTATGTGCTAGGCACTGCTGTTGGCAGCTCTTGCAGCCTGAGTAACCAGGGCGGGAGGACAGGATAGGGAGGTTCCACGCCCAGGATGAGGGCCACAGAGAAGAACCAGGTAATGCTCACCATAATGGTTGCCCCGTCTGGCTGTCTGCCTCCGTTCTGACAACGTTCTCTAATGGGTAAGCAGATGGCGCAGAACACCGCATGCCCGCTGGAGCAAAGCTCTGCTTTGGATTGACCTTTGGGCGATTGCATGACCATGCCTGTAGCATTAACCATGAACACCTGTGCTCGAGGGTGGCAGGTATTCACAGAACATGTGCTTTGTCTCCTTCTCCTACTCTTTCACTTCATAATAGCTTACATTTTTCTAGTGCTTTACTGTGTGCAAAGCACTTTATACGCTTTCTCTAAGGTAGATTTTGCAAGTATTATTTTCTTTATCTTACACGTGAGGAAACTGAGTCTGAGAGAAATGAAATGAACTGGCCAGTAAGCAGTAAATGGCAGAGCCAGCGCTTGAATCCATATCCTTTGACTCCAAATCCGGGGCCTTTACTGTATTTTTACATTGGTTTCTATACAGGTCTTGTGACTCCAAATCCAGGGCCTTT